GACTTGGCGGCAGCCCGATTCAGCTTTCGAAAGTCCTGCTCGAGCAAAGCTTTTTGCTGCCGGACACTTGGGTGGCCAGCACCGTTCACACTCTCCTGGCAATCAGGGCCCGGCTTGGGACGCGGAACGTGCGATGCCCAGTGCATTGTCACCTTGAAAGTATTCGTTTGGAACACACTCGGACCGGACAGCAAGGGCTAAGAACGAGCTACGCATGAAGCCTCTCTGGCCCCTTCTGCATCAGCTGGTTCACTTCGACCAAACGTGAAGCCCTTCAGGCAGCAGTGCTTGCAAAACGATGTTCATGACTGAAACAAACCTGCTGAAGTGTTTGTGCTATGTCCTGTGCATAGAACAGCAATCATGCTGTTTGACTACTATAGATAAGCTCGGGTGTTATCAAAGCCCGCCTCACAGGAGTTGCGAACAGCAGACTGCACAAATCAATATTCTTAAGTGCAAACAAAACATGCACGAAGTGTTGTGGGAAACTCACATATTTCCCTCGTTTTTTCCCGAATGCAAGCTGCTGATCTGGGTCATGCCGTCATGCGCTTCCTCGCACGGGGCAGCAGCAACCTCTCAATCGTTCGGAAAACTGGCCTTCACTACGTGGCTGCATCCCACCCTTGCAAGTCCCGATCGGTTCGAGGGCGTGCCGGTACGCGGCTGCCTTTTCCGCAAGTTTTGCGTCACCTCAGCTGAGAAGTTGACCCACTCTTTGACGTCTTGCTAACCTGTAAGGACCTTACATCTTTTGGCTCCCTTGGCTCCATGGCCGTTGCACGTGCGCCAGCTCTGTGGTTGGCAGCCTCCGTGTCCGTTGCGTGGCGCAGGCATGCTGCGAGTACTCTTTTAACCCAGCACACCTGGCTTCCTGATCGGGCAGCCAGGGCCCAAGAAAGCAGCCAAGCACCTCCAAGAGACCCGGTGGATAGCCAACGGGGTTGGCTTTGCTGGAAAAATATCCACATGCAGATAGCGTCTTTGATTCAGGAAACACCCATGCACAGGATGCTTGGCAAATTTAGGTCCATGAAAATATGTTTGTGGGATCTTGATTCTCAGCAAAAGCTATTTGGGAATCGAAATTTGCACGGCAGGGGTGGCAGCAAACTGCTTGGGAATGCCCATTTGTGGGATTCTGCTTCGCCATAAACCTTATTTTATTTTTGGGCGGCCCTATGCAACTCGCTCAGCAACAACTCCGCAAGAACTCAGGTCTGTGAGAGAACTAAGTAGGAGTGTGCTTCTAGGAGTGTCTTGCACATTCTTGCACGTTGGCAACCTCACTAGCGTACTCCAAAATTGGCGGTCTACAGCTGTTCTGTGAGGCAGCTTGTAGATAGGAGTACGGGAAGGTAGGGCTGTGAGTGGCTGGGTGTCTAGAGGACTTTAAAAGCCAGTGCCAAAGGAGCTTGGTGCACTGTTCTGTCCAGTGGACCCTTCGCCTACCTGGCTTAAGGCCTGCTCCTACCGTTCCCCCTCTGTACGGAAAAGACCTAGTAAAACGGCAGTTCCGTTCTATACTGTTCGGATGGGATCGAAGGATGTGCCCGAAAAGCTTCAGCTGTGCTTTGTGGATGTGGCGTGTGAGAGGGGGTTGTGAGGTGAGTGCTCGCACTTCCTGGTTAGTGTAAGTGCGTGCCGCGGGGTTGAGGACTTCGGTGTAGTAGGTGCTTTGAACGGAGTGACTGTGAGTGGAAGGCCTCAAGCCTGTGGTAGTCTCCGGCTGTGAGCGCTGCAGACTCGAAGCCGTACGTCACCAATGGGATGAAAACCGCATTGTAGATGCGGAGCTTCCACTTCAGTGTGAGGTCTGTGTTGCGCCAAAACTGGTGCAATGAGTGGAAGTTTTTGCGGGCTTTGGCAAGCCGCGTGGCGACGTCCTTGTGAGAAGAGCCGTTGCTGCTGAACATGACTCCAAGGTACTTGGCGTGTTGTTCGATGGTGAGTGGGGTGCCGTCTGTGAAGTGGATGGTGTTCTGTGAGGTGGGGGAGCGTAACAAGACACACTTTTTGAGGTTGAGGTGTGGGTTGCAACGCGCGGCAGTGTGTGGAGGAGCTGCTGTGCTCTGGTCGCCGTGCCGGCCATCAGTGCCGTGTCGTCGGCGTAAGCAAGGTCGTGGAAGGGCTGGTTTTGGCTGTAGAGCCAAAGGAGGAATTCCCCGTTGGCTGTGAGTTCTTGGTCGACGTCGTGCATCACCATGCCGTGCACTATGAGAAAGAGGTAGGGTGACAATGGGCATCCCTGTCGGATGCCTGAGCTCGACTCTTCTTCAGTGCTGTGCTTTCCTGTCGCCGCGACCTTGAACTGCGGTGAGGTGTAAATGTTCTTGATGAGTGCTGTGAAATGCTGTGGAACACCGTAGCGTGTGAGTGCTGTGATGAGGGCGTCTGGGTGGATTTTGTCGAAGGCCTTCTCCCAATCAAGAAGGATAGTGTAAAGTGATTGTCCAGTTGCCTCCGCTCTTTCTATGAGCCTGCGGATAATGAGGATGGGCTGTGAGGTGGAGCGTGTTGCTCTAAACCCGTATTGGGTTTCTCGAAGCCTATCATCCAACGCCGCCTGGAGTCTTGTGTGGATGATCTTAGCAAAGAGCTTGTACGATGTGTTGAGGAGTGAAATTGGTCTGTAGCTGGCTGGGTCTGTGAGTGGTCCTTTGCCTTTGTAGATCTCGACCACTGTTGCTTTGTGCCAGTCTGCGGGGATGGTGGCTGTGAGCAGGGACTGGTTGAGCACTCTGAGGAGTGCGTCTTTGTTGTGGTCGTCCAGCCATTGCCAAGCTTCTGCGGGGAGCTGATCGGGGCCTGGGGCTTTGTTGAGTGCTGTGCTCAGCTCAGCCTTGGTGATGGGTGCCAGGTCCACTGTGGCCGGTGGGTGGAAGGGGTCGGTGGGACCAGTGTACTGTGTGGGTGGAGGCGCCCAGTGTGAGTCACGCAGGTACTCTGCGAAGGTTTGGGCTTGCTGTGAAAGGCTTGTGGGCTTGCCCTGTGAGTCCCGTATTGGGGCCGGTCTGGGCTTGTAGTCCGAGCGTATCCGCTTGATCCACCTCCACTTTTGGCGTGGATCCAAGGTGGCCTCGCTTTCGGCCAGCCGCTCTTTAAAGCCATTGGGTTTGGTCTTTGCGTGCTTGCTTTCTTATGTCCTTGCGGAGCTGTGTTTCAACGTCTGCTCTCTGTGAGAGTCGCGCTGCCGAGCGTTGCTGTATAAGTTGCCAAGTTGCTTGTGTAATCCAGGGGTGTTTGGGGAAGGAGGCTGTGGTGGGTATGTGTTCGGAGATGGCATTGGCCGCTGCTGTGCTGAGGCTGGTCCAAGGTGTGTGGGGTTGGGCTGGGAGGGGGAGCTGTGCTGGTGACTGTGAGTATGTTTCAAAAGTGCTATGCGCGGTGAGCTGCTGCTGGATGTGGTTGTTGTATTGTTGCTTCTGTTCTGTGGTTGGTGTTCTGGTGTGTCTTGGCTTGGGCGGTGTTCGCTTGGTCTCTTTGGTGCCGAGCTGAAGCTAGACCTTGACCAGGTAGTGGTTGCTGTTGAGGGCTGCGCCGGGGAGGGAGTGGATGTTGTGAATAATGTTGCGCCATTTCTTGTGGATGATGGCGTGGTCAAGCTGGACCAGGTCGCCGTTTGGGCGTTTGTGTGTGTGTGTGTGTGTGTGTGTGTGTGTGTGTGTGTGTGTGTGTGTGTGTGTGTGTGTGTGTGTGTGTGTGTGTGTGTGTGTGTGTGTGTGTGTGTGTGTGTGTGTGTGTGTGTGTGTGTGTGTGTGTGTGTGTGTGTGTGTGTGTGTGTGTGTGTGTGTGTGTGTGTGTGTGTGTGTGTGTGTGTGTGTGTGTGTGTGTGTGTGTGTGTGTGTGTGTGTGTGTGTGTGTGTGTGTGTGTGTGTGTGTGTGTGTGTGTGTGTGTGTGTGTGTGTGTGTGTGTGTGTGTGTGTGTGTGTGTGTCGGTGCTGTGGGGCTTTCTGCAACCAGCTCTGTGGAAGGCAGTAGTCCTGTCAGGCAAGGAGGTCGTGGAACTGGCGTTGGTTGGTGTCCCCTTCTTCTTCGTCTGCCGGCTCGTCTTCTTCGGCAGTTTTGCCGGGAACGAAGTGGGGGCCGGTGGCGCGGGGGACGGCGGCAATCTCGTCGAGGGCAAGGGCGTTAAAGTTGCCGACCACTAGCAGCGGGGATCTTTCTCTGTGAGTGGAGATCCGGTTGGTGAGTGCTTGCCAAAACTGATCTCTGCATTGCTGCTCCCTTTGGTTGTGGGGAGCGTACACCGCCAAAATGGTGAGGGGGGCCTCCACCGTGTCGATGGGGAAGCTAAGGAAACGGCCGTCGATGCAAGTGAGGTCGGTGATCGTGAGTGTGAGGTGTGGGGCCGTGATCAGCGAAACCCCTGTCAAGGTCTGTGTGGGGTTGCCTTTTGCTGTCGTCTTCCTCGGTGGCGCTGTGAGTGATGGTGTACCCGTCGATCATAAATTCATCGGGTTGTTTCATGTGGGTTTCTGTGAGCACCAACCAGCTGAAGCGGTGCTTTCGCATGATGTCGATCAGGGTGTGCAACTTGGCTGCTTCGAGAAGGCCTGCGGTATTCCAAAACGCACCTCGGAGGAGCTGGTGGGGGGTGGTTTGGAGGTCGTGCTTTGTTCTGCCCTTCTTGCTAGGTTGGGCGATGTGTGTTTTGAACCAGTGTGCTCTGGTGTGTTGGCGGTGGCGTGTGTCGTGTCTGCTTTGCCACTGTTTGTGGCTGTGAGGGGCGGGGGTGGTGTCTGTGCGAAGGTGGTTGGGTGTGCTGTTGTTTTGTGGCGGCTTCTTCTTTAGCTTAAACATGGTCTGCAGGAATCGCCGGAATCTGTGACATCTGCGGTGTGTTTGCTGGCTGTGGGCTGTGTGGGTGCTGGGGGTCTTCTGCTGCCGGGTCTGGCTGCTGCTGTGGCTGCTTGTGGGCCGGTGTGAGAGAGATCGGCTCGTGAGGTCGTTTAAAAGCTTTTGGTGAGGCTGGACCAGGGAGCCCGTACCCTGGGTCAGCACATTCGTTTGGGTGGGTGTGAGGGCTGCTCGCCAGCTACGGTAACGTCGCCGGTGGGCTGCTCTGTTGGTGATGCGTTGTTGTGCTCGGCGTTTGCGGGCGTCCTTGCTGCGGAGCCCCCGCCTGTACTGTGTACTGTGAGCGTGTTTGCTGTGGGTGGTGCTTGTGAGATGTGGGAGGTGTGTGGGAGTGAGTGGGTGAAGGGTGGTTTTGCACTTCTTCGCCAAAAGGCACATTCCTCGATCCCGAAAAATCCGAACATATTACGGAACTGTGAGAGAAAACAAAGGAAAAGGGATGGGGATGGCTCAGCGCACCCGGCTCGCCTATGGGAGGCGTGCTTGCATGCAACAAACTAATTCGCTCCCTTTCTTCCTGTGCGGTCGCAGTGTTGTTCTCGCCCTTGACCCAATCCGACACTGCTCTGTGGAGTACTTGGAGATATCGTACCCCAGGCTGATCTGGGTGATCTTCTCATTCTCCACTTCCTGGTCAAGTTTGGCCTGTGAGTCGAACGGGTAGTAGGGCTCCTTTGTGAGGTCTGGCTCTCCGGAGGGCTCCATGCTGTCGAAGGTGCCTTCCGCACCTTCGGAGTGTTGCCGCTTCTGGTGCTGTGAGATTTTTCGGCAAAGGTGATCAAGGACTCGCCAGCTGCAACCTCGGTCTCCATCGCCTGGTCCACCGCCATCTCTGCCATAAGCTCCTCGACCGGCCGCAGGTCCTGGAAGAACTGGCGGTCTGGGTGGTCCTGTGAGAGGCCGACAAAGGTGAGCTCCCAGGGTACTCGAACTTGAAGCGGGCCGCCACCAGTTCTCGATGCCTTGCTCCTCGCCTTCGGTGTAGGACGGCATGGCTTTGGTCAAGAACCTGTTGAGCCTGGGTGCCGCGGAGTACTCCTGTGAGGTTCTTTAGGCCGCTGTGGAGGAGGCTTCTTTCCCCACTTCCGTCTGGGAGATCTGCTGAGCTGATCATACCAAACAGTGAGGACGCGGTCACAAGCCCAGTCGGCAACCGCTGTGAGCTTTCCGGCTGTAGAGGATGCGACCCAACCATGCGCCTATCTGACCCTGGCGTGGCCGACTGCTGCGTCTGGCCAGCTTCTTCCTCGACTGCCTCTTTTGGCTTCTCTTCCTCCTTTAGCCAGTAGAGTACCACGGCCCTGGAGCATGCATCCATGACCTTCTTTCTGACGGCATAGGTCGGGACTGTGAGGATGGAGATCGGAGCCAAAAACGTCTTGCCTTCCATGGTGGTGGCGGTCAAATCCCACTCCAGGTAGCCAAGGTGGTTCTCCTTGAGAGCCTCCGCTACTGTGAGCTCCCGGTCATCTGCTGTTGCCCATTCCGGGAAGTTGCGGACCACCAGCGTTCTCTTGGCTGCCTCAATCTGTGAGTACATGAGGTCTTTTTCGGTCCAAGCCGTGCGTATCTTCAGCATCCGGACCTCGTGCTCGAGCGTGTCGATCTTCATCGCGTGGCTGACCAACTCGGCACCGGGCCGACTTTCTGCTGCAACGCTTCGGTGATCATTGCAGCACACTCCTCACGGGAAACCGGCTGTGAGGAAGCCGCTCCCTGTGGCAGCTGCACCTCCCAATCTTGAGGGCGAGTCACTGGTGCCGCAGTCGACAGCACGGACGGGCCATCTCCTGTGAGCAATGCATCACGCTGTGAGATGCGTTGCTGCATCGCGGCCATCACCTCGGCATTCTTGTCGTTGGCTGCGCTTTGCTCTGCTCCTTGGACACGCAAGGCTTCCAGGCCAGCAGCTACCGCGGAGAGCTGCGAGGCCATAGTCTCTAACACCTGGGACGAGGCTGCCATGTTGCCTGTGAGAGCAAGGAGAGAGAAAGGGGCTGCGAAAAAGCTTGAGCACTCGTGAGCCTCCATAAACCATCTTGGTCTATTTAACTGTGGGGATGGATCCTGGTTCGGCGCACACAACTAGCACTAACAATTTGTGCAGAAATTACGCAACAGTAACAGGACTCTATACAGGAATGCAAACAAAGCGCGGTCTAGCTCCCGCTGCTCCTCCGGAGCACACCCTTTTAGGGTGAAGTTGAAAAGCCGCTCGTTTTGAGCAGCATCCATCCATCCCTCCATGCATCCGTTCCATCCTTTCCTCCATACATCCGTTCCATCCATCCATCCGTTCCAACCATCCTCCGTTCTATCCATTCATCCACATCCATCCATCCATCCGTCCATCCATCCGTCCATCCATCAACATCTATCCGATCTATCCGTACACATCCAGCCATCAATCCATCCACATCCATCCATCCATCCGTCCGGCCCAGAGCCCTCTGGGAAGAGCGTTTAGTGGCGTCTAGACTTATCGCACGCCGCATCCCACAGAAGCCTCTGTGGAGAAAGTGTTTAGTGGCGTTTAGACTCTTCCGGAGGCGCCCCAGGGCTCTGGAACCTTATTGCGAACGCCTCATCAAACAAAGCCCCCATAGCTCTGCGACCTTATCGCGCGCGCCGCATCCCACAGAGCCCTCTGAAAACAGCGTTCAGACCTTATATCGCGTGCGCCGCATCCCGCAGAGCTTTCTGGAGAGAGCGTGCAGCGGCGTTTAAACTCTTCATGGAGGCGCCTCAGAGCTCTGTGACCTTATCGCGCGCGCCGCATCCCACAGAGCCCTCTGGAAAGAGGGTTTGGTGTTCCGGAAGCGCCCCTGAGCTATGCTGCTTGCTGTGCTGTGTGCATCGTGGTGTATGCATGGCGTGCATAGTTCTGTGCTGTGTGCGTCGTGCTGCGCTGTATTCGCGGGGTCGCCTGGGTGAGTGAGTGAGAGAGTGCGTGAATGAGTGATTGAGTGAGTGAGTGAGTGAGGGGGCGAGTGGAAGAGGCGAGAGCGCGGGTAAAAGTAAGAACCCCACACAGTGATGTGGGGAAGAATCCATTGTTTCCTCAAAGATGCCAGGACCAATTTTGGATTTATGGATTTCTGTTTGTGCACACGCCATCCCGCACGCATACACATGCCGGCCTTCGACATACACTTTGCACACGCCTTCCCGCATGCGTGCACTCGCTGGCTACACATACACATACTGAACGCGCATTCAATCATAGTTTTTAGAGCGTGCAACGAGTTCGACTGAATTGGGAGGACCGGGGCCGCGGCTTTTTGCTAGTCAACCGGTGCCTACCCAGATTCAGTCCCATGACTGAGGCTTGATTCCACTCAAATTATTGGATGGGGGGTACCGGGGCCGCGGCTTTGTGCTAGTCAGCCGGCGCCTACCCAAATCCAATCCCACTGTGCTCCGAGGCAGTTGTGGGAGCTAGGCTTATTTGTTGCTGGTCAGGCCCACCAAACAGTATTGGATGGGGCAAGTTGCTTGCATTCAATTTCCTTCCTGATGCTCAGAGTGCAGATGACGTTTTTGTTGCCTTTTCCTTTCGGGTTTCTGCTAGTGTTGTCCTTGCTTGTTTGTTGTCCTTCGGCGGCCTTTCTTCTCTTTCAGGCTGTTGCTTAGGGTGATCTTTCTTTTGTTTGCGCGATAGCTGAATTTGGGTCACATGCACCACCACGGTGACCGTCGTCCCCTACCACGGGAGAAAGCTTCACGGAGAAGGGACTATATACTCGCCGTCACCCAGATCTCCTAGAGCACGTTCCGATAGCCGATCGAGAACGAAGGCTACGACGATCCAGTGCATCGTACACGTTCGCCCGCTCCTCATCGTGATCCTCGCCATGCTGACTCAAAGAAGCCCTTACGCGAAGCCTATGAGTCTGAGTACGAGTAATTACTACTCTTCTTCCGGGGAACGGGAGAAACCAAGGCAACCTGCGGAGTGGTTTGACGCCATAACTCCCCAAAGGGCACGCCTTTCCAACACGATCGCCATGGTAACACCCGCTTCCCTCCCAAATCCTCGTCGCTGCCCGATTGGATTCCTTGCCAATGTGGTGAAAGAACCTTCTGGAAGCATCGCGAGTCCCACGAGAGTACTTGGTCCAACCCGGTCATTCCCAAAACTACCCGCCCAAAGGCATGCCCGATGGCTCCGCGTGCTACACCCTCGACTCCGTGTTCTACACCTTCGAGGCCGATGGGAAAAAACGACGAGCGTGCAAACTTGCTAAGCCAGTTGCACGCCTTGGAAGCCAAGACCACTCAGATCAAGAATAAGTTGCAGGGCTCCTGTTCTCCACCGCCACCTCCTATGTCAACACCAACGATGGACATGAAGACCGACAACGCCTTGATCTCTTCAGGCCCCATTCTTAAGCTCTCCATGCGGGTTGTTGCGGTTGAAGAGGATATCAAGAATGCGCAGGAGAATTTCAAGTCCGTGCTCATCAAAAAGCAAGTTTCCCAACACCCAAGTGCCAATTGCAAAGGCATGTTTGCCAGGGCATGGCAATCCGACATTGCCGTGTTGAACCAGTTAGAGGCCATGGGGATTCGCGTTATTGAGGCCGAGGATGTGAACTCGGATAGAATTCCTCCTTACGTTGAGGTTGGTCGTGGTAATCCCGCCGTTCCTAGCTTCAAGGTTTGGTTCTCGTTGACGCCACCAGAGTCCCTTACCTTCAACTACACGGTCAGTGCTAAAAAGCTAGAAATCAACGGCGCCAACAGCATGACACTCAAACACATTGACTTGCTCCTCCAGTTCTTGGGTAACATTGCGGATATCCAGTCCAGTCCCAGCGCGCCCGTCGAACTACCAGCGAGGTTGCACCAAAACCATACCGCAGCAAGAGAAGTGGTATCTGAGCCTTCCTGGTAGCCTTGGCTGTCAGCCTTGTGCCCTCTGGGTACTGCTGGCTCCCGGGCCCGGGGAGGTTGCAAATAATCGTGTTGAGTATTGCTCACCCGCGGCCGATGCTTGACGCTCTTTGACCGTCGGTTGCCATTGTTGCGCCCTTCTTTTGAAGGGTACTCGTGGCTTCCCGGTCTTCCGTCAATCTCCTTTGTCCTTTCTACTCTACCGGGAGTATGCTTGGCTTGAGCTTGCAGGCAACTACCTCCATGTTACCACACGTTTCACATGTGGACGGCGCGGGTATGATTCACCGTTTTGGCACAAAATTTGCAGCGCCCAACTCAGGTAAGTAGCCACGTGTACCATTGACTGACCTGCCACATACTACTGTTGCATTGCTGCAGTGAGTCCTCTGTGCTTGTAATCGTTTTTGATTGCCGCCTGGTATGCTTGTGAATGCCCTGGTACTCGTACCGCAGCTTTTTCTCATCATGAGTTCTGCCAGCGCTTCTTCACAATGGATTAATCAATTCTCGACTCTACTCCGAACTTGGACTGATGATATCGCGGTTCTTCCGCGCCGCAACCATTTCTGAAGCGAGAGGTCCTTTACCGTGCTCAAGAATTCCTGCCAAAGCACCGCTCTGAACACAGCCGCGTGACCATTATTGCACCGTTCAGTGGTGGAGTAAGCCTCCGAAGCGACAACGATTGCAATATTCAGCCTGCCAATTCTTTTCCTTTTTTCTCGGGTGCCTGAATCCAGGGAATTCGGGGTTCTCAGTGCTGTTTTCTAGAGAAATCCTTTGGTGGAAGCTTGTCGACTGTGCGAGCTTTTTCCGCGAGCTCAACATCAAGCTTCTGGTGCTACCAGGCCCTTGTATGCCTGCAGGATTCCAATTGCCCCCTGATTACCCTTTTTTGTATGTGGGTGCCAGCAATCAATCTTGGAACACCATGGGTGCGCTTCTTGCCAGAGATAGTGCCACTAGGGTTGAGGTGTTAGAGCACGCTTCTACTTCAGATCGACGTATCTGGCTTCGGTTTCCACCGTTCCAATGCAGTTCCGCTATCATACTGTGCGCTCTCTACGCCCCACCCAGTGCTGGAGACAAAGAACCCTCCGTCCGCGACCTCAGGAACGAGGCTCGTGCAACAAAGCAAACAATGCCCAATTCAGGCGCCGTTGTCCTTGTCGGAGATAGCAATATTCAGCTTACTTGCATTGTGGATCATAGTGCATCCTGCCGATGCCTTCACTGCCGGCAACCACGTGAAGAAGCAGCGATAGAGCGCATTTTTCGGCATTGTGGATTCGATTGCCTTAACCCTATAAATACGCCAACGCCTTGCAGTGAGACCTCCATTGACCTGGCGCTAACCACCTGAGTGCATACGATCCATCAAAGTTTTCCCTGCGGGCCAATTCCTCAATTCTGACCATAGCTTAGTTTTGGGTGATCTAGCTATTTCTGTACTTGCATCGCCACAGCCTCGCATCGGTCGTGTGGGTTGATCTAGCTATTTCTGTACTTGCATCGCCACAGCCTCGCATCGGTCGTGTGGGTTGGCTCCCGGATGAGTTAAGTGGCACGACGTTACGCAGGTCATTGACAGCTGCATGGTTCTTGCCGCTGAGCTTGTGGCAGCTGCTTCCAGTGACCCTTCCCTTGCCTGCTCCCCTCCTTCTTGTAGTCTTCAGCAACGAAGATCCTGCCTGGATGCTTGTGATTGGCTTAGGGTTTTTGCTTTCGTTTCTGCTGGGCACTTGGGTGGTATCGTTAAAGTCAGCTTACCGGTCGCTTGTTCCAGGGACTGCTCCTCTGATACAGCTTCCATCCGTGCCAAGCAACAAGGCAATTGGGCCAAGTATGTGCATTTACGTGACAGCAATCCAAGTGAAGCTGCCAAATTCCTGGCTAAGCTTTTGCGACCAAATATCGCAACACAAATCCGTTTGAAGAATGAATCCACTGGCGAGCTCCTGTCTACAAGTGAGGCACTGACCGCAATCCTTGATGACATCACTTCTCGTCCGTTACCCACGAAGGTACTCAGGTACTCGCCACCGATAGTACGTCGTCATCCCAGC